CCGTGTTGTTTGGGTAGGACAAGGGGGAAGAAGCGGAGAGCAGGAGGATAAGACCGTAGAGGGACTTGATGATTATCACATCAATCAATGAAACAAATATACAGAGGACAACGGGAACACACCACTGCACAGCTGAGACCGTGGAGGTGAGAGAGCATTTGCTGCCAAGAGTTGCAGTGCGTGTTCGCGGAAGACGATGCTGGTCATAGTAGACAGCGAGAACTAGGATATAGATCAAAAGTAATGCTACTGATATAGGGGAATTGGGGCTCTCATAAGATATACGCACCTTGACCTGGCTGGACATTAAATAACTGTTATTTATGAGCAGGATGAGCGACTCGGCGATACCTGTCGTCCACAATGCTCACGATGAGGGACGGAGAGCAGCACTGTCAACGTACCAGAAGTACCCGACCGGAAAATACGGGCCTTGCCGGACTCCTTTCCCTTGACTGCCAGCGTTGGCGACATTCTCGAGAAACAAGAAAGAGATGGGAAGAAAGTCGTGGTACGCAGCGTCGATGAACTTCAAAAAAGGTTTAGTGAAGGAGTCGTCTTAAGCTTTGCAGTGAGAGTCTGAGACACGAGCAAGAGATGGGTATGACGTCGGGAACCGCGCCACTACTGTTTGCCGAGCTCTGGAACGGGCAGCGTGGGAGATGCAAATTACCCCGTTTTGGAAGGCGAGTAGCGATTTCGTCCACGTCCACAACCTGCTCCTAAACGGACCAGGTACAAGGACAAACAACGTCTCAAAATTCCATCTTCGCAGGCTCCTCGTCCTTCACTCCATTTCTCTTCCACCAGTCCCTTCCCGGCTTAGAATTTTTCATTGTATTTCTCTAGGCTTATTCTGCTTTTTGTTCGGTATGTCGTCTGCAGCTCCAGCACCCAAAAAAGCTCGCTCGAGGAAATCAAAAACCGATCTGGCTGCTGCTGCTGCTTCTGCTCCCTCCGAGCCCACTCCTGCTGCACCAGCACCCGTACCCACGAAACTCTCGGACGATGCTGTTGATTCTACTACACCGGCTGCCGCTGAGAAGAAAAAGAGACGCAGCAAAAGAAATCGTGCTGACGATGCGGCCACCGCCACTACCACTACTCCTACTGTCAACGACCAAGCAGAAAAGTTGATCGGCGATGCTTTGGCCTCGGCTTCTGCTGCGGCTACTTCGGTGGTGTCTCCTGCATCTACGCTTGCGGAGGGAGAGTCTGCTGTTGTCGCTCCCGTGAAGAAAGTCAAGAATAGGGCTCGGAAGAGGAAGCCTGAGGCAGAGGCTGCCGCTCCTGTGTCTGGAGAAGGCAAGGGGACGGGTGAGGACGAGGCGACGCTGCAGGTAGTGGATCAGCCGCAGGTAGAGCCGACCAAGCCAGCGAAGAAGGAGAAGAGGAAGGCGAAGAAGGCTGCGGGTGATGCTGCTGCCACTGCAGGAGAGAAGGAGAAGGAAGTGGTTGAGGAGACGGTGAAGATCGTCGAGCAGGTTTCAGCTCCAGAGCAGACGGAGGAGGGAGGGAAAAAGAAGCGGACGAGAAAGTCCAAGAAGGAGAAGGCAGCGGAAGCAGCGAGTGCCGCTGTGGCGCCAGCTGCGACGGAGGAGGCATCAGTACCGGCAGAGGTGACCATCGCAGTGACGAAGACCATCACCACAGTTGAGCCTACGGACGTCGAGGGCGGCAAGAAGAGGAAGCGCAAGGCGAAGAAGGATGTCGCGGCCGTAGTCGAGGAGAAGGAGCAAGAGGTTGCACAAGTTGTTGAGGCCGAGAAGGAGGCACCCGTTGTCGCTGTTGCGCAGGTTGAGGAGGCAGAACCGAAGTTGAAGAAACGGAGAAAGAGCAAGTCGAAGGATGCTCAAGCCGACGCCGAGCCTTCCTCGAAATCTCAAACCGCTGCCGCTGAATCCGCTTCCTCCAAACCATCCGCTCCTACCCCTCCCGTCGCTCCTGCGCCTGCCCCCGCCCCTACCCCAGTCACCGTCTCCACGACCGCTCCTACACAAAAGGCCCCCACAAAGGTCGCCAAAGCCAACAAAAAGCCGTCAAAAGCGCCATCACCGCCTCCTGCTGTCGAAGAGAACGCCGTCGAGGCCGAGGCTTCCGACGAGGAGGATGAGGAGAATGATGAGAACATGCACTTGCACGGATTCTCGGACGATGACGAAGACTCTTCCGATGAGGATATCGACGTTGATGACTTCGGTACAGGGGTCGATGTCGGCAAGCTGCCGACGATCGCGAAGGACGACGCGACAGTGAAGAGGAAGTTAGAGAAGGCGAAGAGGCATCCCGTCAGTTTCTGTTTATTTTTTTCTTCCACATTTTACGCTATGATCGTCTACTATTACGATGGTGCTGACTTATACTTTCTCGCCCTTCGTTTTTCTCTATAGACGGAGGATAAGGGCGTGATATACCTCGGAAGGTTGCCCCATGGGTTCTTCGAGGCTCAACTCAAGGGTTATTTCTCGCAGTTCGGAGAAGTACTGAGAGTGAGGGTGTCTCGCAATAAGAAGGTCCATATCTTCCTTATTAACCAAATCACTTTATCCTCTATGTCGTCCACTCATCCTCCACTGTCCAACCTTTCATGCCCCAAATTTGAATGACTACTGACATCTATTTCGAAAAAAAAAACATCAAATCCAGACCGGCGCCTCAAAACACTATGCCTTCATCGAATTCGACTCGTCCTCCGTCGCCCAGATCGTGGCGGAGACGATGGACAATTACCTCCTCCTCGGCCACATCCTGACCTGCAAAGTCATCCCGAAGGACGAAGTGCACCCCGAGCTTTGGGTCGGCGCGAACCGGAAGTACAGGAAGGTGCCGGGGGCGAGGGTGGAGAGGGTTAGGCATGATAAGGTGAGCTTTTTTTATACATGATAATTCGGCTTGCAGCGACAGGTCGAGGTTTGGTGTGGAAGTATGATGTCTGATTATCGTTTTGTCCTTTTTTTTTGTGTGCAGCCACGGACGGAGGAGCAAGAGCGCGCTGCGGAAGGGAGGTTGCTCAGGAGGCAGGAGGAGAGGAAGAGGAAGCTTGCGGACGCTGGGATTGAGTACGATTTCGAGGCTGTCGCATACGTGAGTCCTCTTTCCCAACCTTCTTTCCTCTCCATAAAATTTCGCCGAATCGACATCTCGTTCTCTTCCACTCACTTCACTTTGAACTCGTTCTGTCGATACGTGTCTTGCTGACTTTGTTTGTATTGCTCATGTGCACAGAAAAAGCCGAAAGCCGTCGAGGCGTGATGCGTCTCTGTCCTGTGGCCCATTGCTCGGTGCCTCGTACTCTGCTGTATCGTAACAGAGCGCGCGACTTACGCTCGTCTGTCTGCTTGGCGCCATGTTTTACTGTTCTCCTGAGGTCTTTGTATGTAAACATACTCGCCTATGATCCCCGTTGTGCTTGATTTTGCCCAAAACCATGGCACGTACGACTAGAATCGCACGGGTATACAGCAGCTTGCAAACTACCAATTCCATGGTCAACGCCTACGAGTCTCCACGGTTTTACTAACGTCTTCTCAACCGTCTTTGCTGACCTTGACTCCAATTGGATGTCCAAACTCGCCATATAATCGGCCATTGTCCACTGTTCATTCTTCCCATCAAAATACAGCATATAGACGCCAAGTCGATTCTACCAGTACACACGAACACAAGGCTCGCCTTCATATCCATTCGTCGTTGACATCAACACCACTAGAGGGCGCAATAGCAGATTCATCAGAGCGAGCTCCCACGATAACGAGGGAAAGTCTTTGATCACGCACCAGAGTATCAATGACTTGCGGATACCAAATCGCTGACTACGTGGTAGACCACCACTGTCATTAAACGCAGATCTATCAGGCGTAAGGAAAATGCCCGGCCAGTCAGTCATGGGACGTCCTTGAAGACGCGAGCCCCGCCGTCTCTTTAGCGACTTTAGGCAGACAGGGAAAGTTCTCGGATGGGAAGAGATGAAGGACGGAAAGAACGCACCAGACCGATACACTGAGAAGGGACGATGCCGAGGAGGGAACAGCAATCACCGTCTAAGAGGCACACACTCCCAACGTTCGCGCATCGCTTCTCTAGCACGGCGGCGGAAGAGAGGGTACCGCTGAAGGCGGCGACGGCAATGGCGAAGAACTGGATCTTAGCGAAGAGTTGCATGTTCAAGATTCGTCGATTGAGACTGGGGATGATCGAAGATGTGTTATCCTCACAGGCAGAGAAAAACCGAGAGCGAGGGATGTCAAAAAGAGTCCATGGGTAGAAGGCGTTATATACTGCTACACCTAGTTTTATTCGCTTACTACGTTCTTTCATCTCGGCCCACGAGAGGACCTGTGAGTCGCCAAGATCCTAGGAATTCTAGGCTACAGCCTGGTCCGCAACATGTCCGCTATTGTACACCGGTCGTCTCACAGTGATGGGGACAATCACTGGCAAAACGTCGTGTAAGACCGAGTCACATTGTGGAAATGAGGCCATACCACCATTGCGCAAAGATGTTAAGGAACCTCTTTCGAGCGTGTCATGAAGGCCGTGGTCTGGTGGACATATGCATGCTTCCCTGGCCTGGTGTCCTAAACGGGAGAACATGAAGAATAAGTATCCGAGCCTCCTTGAACACGACGGACTCGGAAGAACTGAGTATGAGTTTCACTTTAACTTCCTCGGTGTAGTAAAAACTACTCATAGTCTCGCACACCACGGAGAACTCGGATATGAGCGACCGATGCGACCTAAGTATTCGAATCTGGGCAGAGAGACAGGAGTACGGTGAGGGACGCGATGAACTCGGACGACAAGATGTTCGTCGCGCGTGGCTCTGATCACACCCGGAAAGTGCCGGGAGGACGGTGTTCTCTTTCAGGATCGCTGATTGAGTCACTCTACCGCGAGCCACCGTCTTGCTCGTGGCAAGAAAGCGGCGTTATAGCCTATTTTTTAGCTCCAGAGAGTCTCCTAGCAGCTGTTATGTCCGATTTCTCCACATAAACGAGGAACTCGGATCAGATACGACCCATGCACGACTAGTAGAATCATGCCGCGGGTATACAGCAACTTCTAAACTACCAATTCCATGGTCAACGCCTATGAGGCTCCATTTTCTTTATCATATTTTGCTAATGTCTTCTCAACCGTTTTTGCTGGCCTTCACTTCATTTGGATGTCCAGGCTTGCCATATAAGCGACAATTGTCCACTGTTAATTCTTCCCATCGAAATACAACACACAGATGCATAGTCCATTCCACAAGCAAACGCGAACACAAGGCTCGCCTTCATTTCCATCCGCCATTGACATCACCTCGACTAGAGGACGCAATATCAGGTTCATCAGAGCGAGCTACTATGATAACGAGGGAGAGTCTTTGACTACGCACGAGATAATAACGCTAGGACTCCAATTCAACATGGTTGTGTGGTGAACCATCACCGTCATTAAATGCAGATCTACCAGGCGTAAGTAAAATGTCCGATCCAGTCAGTCAGCCATGGACGTCCTTAAAGACGAGCACCCTATCGTCTCTCTAATGACTTGAAGCAGACGAAAGTGCTCGGATGGAAAGAGATAAATAAAGAAATGGACGCACCTCAGCGAGACACTGAGCAGGGACGAGCCCGAGGAGGTCACAGCAATCACTAGACGTGGTGCATGCGCTCCCTACGTTCGCGCAGCGCTTGTCGAGCGCGGCGGCGGAAGAGAGGGTACCGCTGAAGGCGGCGATGGCGATGGCGAAGAACTGGATCTTAGCGAAGAACTGCATGTTTGCGATTTGTCGATTGAGACTGGGGATGATCGAAGATGTGTTGTCTTCAGAGGCAGAGAAGAATGAGAGCGAGGGATGTTCGAAAGAGTCAATGGGTAGAAGACATTATATACCATCACACCTGTTTTTATTGGCCTCTTTCATGCCTTCATCTCGGTCCAATTCACAAGGAGACCTGTGAGTCGCCACGTCCATAGGAATTCTAGACTATAGAATGGTTTGCAGCATGTCCGTTATTGTACACCGCTCGTCTCACAGTGACAGGGACAACCGCTGGCAAAACGCCATGTACGTCCGAGTCACATTGTGCATCTAAAATCATACTACCATTGCGGAAAAAAGTTAAGCAATCTTTTTACGGCGTGTAATGAAGACATACGTATGCTGCCCTGGCCTGGTGCCCTACAAAACGGCAGAGCTTGAAGAATATCCGAGCCTCCAACACGACGGACTCGCCGGAACTTGAAAGTATGAGTTTAACTTTGTCTTCAAGTTCGTCACTGTGGTAGTAGAAACTACTAATAGCGAGCATTTCACGGAGAGCTCGGATATGAGCGACCGATGCCACATATTCGAGACTGGCAGTGGACAGAGAGACAGGAGTGTGAGAGACGCGAAGAACTCGGACGATCGACCACAGGTTCGTTGCGCGTGGCCCCGGAAAGTGCCGGAAGGACGGCGTTCTCTTTCAGGAACGCTGATTGAGTCGGCCCACCGCAACCCACTGTCTTGCTCGTCGAAACTAGGAGGTGCTACCATTCTATCTCAGACCTTGGCCCCTCAGTTCTGAAATTGCCCACTGACCCGCAAACAGTCAGTTCAAAGGCGGTCTCTGTACTTCAAACCGGTAACAAGTGTTCAAAAAATTACAAGGTTTATTGATACGGTCACAAACGGCGCCGTCAGGGAAATCATACAAGCTCGGATATACAACAACTGCGACATCCCTGATATGCTTTCATACAAGGAGCCCGGAGAGTTGGATTAGATGATATCCTCCCATGAGCCACATTCACAGGCAGGGGTCGCCCACGTTCCATCATCACACTTATGGCATTCCCCATGAGGACCATGACAGGCTTTTGGAAGCATTACAACAGTCGGCAGCGGCTAGGTTGGTATGGAAGGCGATCAGGGTAACGCGAAAAGGATAAAGGAGAACTTCGTAGCGATAAGTATGGATTAAGTTGTTGTCGTGGTTGTTTTTGAGTGGAACACAGAGGGGTTGTGGTTTGCGTCTTATATATCCAACGACGTAGGCGCCTCAAGGTGCCCGATAGCAGGAAAAATGGCGAGAACTAGTTAATATTCGTCTCTCTCAACTGGAAGACCATCCCAATCTTTTTAGATCGCCGCCTTAGCGCGGATGAAGTGGGAACAAAGGAGGCAAACGAGAGACTCAGCTCCGAATCGCTGCTATAGACGATTTCAGTAAAGTACACCTCTCGAGGCGGAGACTGGCGCATCATCTGCGCTATGGCCGGGACACTTTTTATACCCTACCAGCAAGCGAAATCCGGCAGTATTGTTGAATAATAGCGAACCATGTTCTGTGCAAGCAATAATGTCGGATGGAAAGAAACGGCGTTAAAGCTCGAGTTCGGACTTGACTTCGTGAAGCGTTACGGAGCGGAGAAAGTTTTTGAGATTCACGCTCCAATCTTCTGTGATAAATTCAGGAATAACTCGCACCCCAATGAAACACTTCCGACGACAGGTAACAAAAGCAGACGTTCGTGGACTTGAATCCGTCGTCTGACTACTTAGACATAGTCCTACAGAGATTGCATTTAGGACGGACACGTCAAAACATGGGAAGGCTTTAAAAAATGCGCTAACTATTCGGGAATAGACTCATTGGATAGTGCAGATCTGAAACATACACGCGAATCAGCCAAACATATCTAGAGCCGCACATGCCATGCCATCGTGTCTCTTCGACTAAGACCATGATCGATGGAGAGATAGATCCAAAATGAAAAGACATACAAGGTTGACACATTGGGGTTTGATGATCCCGAAGAACTCGGTACAGCACTCGCTGTCTGTGAGACACAACTCCCCCACCGCTTGGCATCGCTTCTCTAATACTGCTGCAGAAGCAAGTGTGCTGAGGGTAGGCATAGTAGCAACAAAGAAGAGGAAGTTGAGGGAGAATTGCATAGCAGCGGCTGGTTGATCCACAGCGGTCTCGTATAGGGAAACCTTGAAGGCAGAAAGAGCAAGAGAAGCCTGTGGAGGAGCTTAAATACACCTAGGCTTGAACATATGCTTTGAGTTTCTCATCCCAGGGCCACACGGGGAACCTGTGAACGATCTAGCTCTTCTGGACGGCCTCTAGAGCACTGGAGACCTGGAACTTCAGATTTTCGTCTCACAGTGATTGGGAGATCAACTCGCATCGCGAGTCTGCATCGTGATGCAGAGGTTCCTGATGATCATTATGACCACTTCCAACATTGCGGCGAAATGTCAAAGGACACCATTTGGGCATGGCTGCAGTCAGATGCACAGATACAATTGCCATATCGTTCCCATCCCGGAGAGTCGCCTCCAACCTCATGCTCTGTAAAAGGGCCAAAGGATCTGGAGGTCTCGGCGGCGAAGAGGTAAATGTGCACGATTACCTCGGCATTTCCATCGGAGTGGTCCAGTAGTTACGATACTCTGCATGTAACACAACGGTCATGCAGATAGCGGACATAGAACCAATGTGAACCGTCTGAGTCCCATGAGTAGTTACGGAGAAATGCCTCGTTTATAGTTAAATGAATCGATAGACGGTGGGCGTAGAACCAAGAGTGGGAGGAATATGATATTGCGACCCTTTTAATGTCGGCCTAAGGATGAGTCAAGTGGGAGCGACCCCATAGGGATAACGGGAGTTTGCAGGGACCGCCTCCACGTTGATCCTCAGTGAGTCTTCACGTCTCAAACCTTGCGATGGGTGATGGTGAAAGTAGAAACGACGTACCCAACAACGGGCCCACCAAACTTGTACATGATATCGCGAATCAGAATCCTTTCGGATGGTCCGAGGCAGCAGAAAAAGCGAAGTCAATGGGAATTGTAGTGCCGCCTATCTGTTCACCGCGATAATGATCTTCTGTTGGACATGTACCAAATAACTTGAACCATGAACTTTCTTGGTTCACGGAGACAATAGATCCGACAGGCCGAGAAGGCTGGTGAGTCGTCTGAGTCAGACGATACAGGTAGGGCCGCGGGAGCTTTCTCGGTAAATATTAACCATCGGAAGACAGTCTACCACGAGCAAAGATGAACGAGACAGCAGGGGTGCACATTGCGAGAGGGATCATGACGGTCAACGAGGAAGAAAGCATAGCGCCACGAAGACGTGCGGGCCACATGAGTGCGATGTGGCGCATTATTACGTCATTTATTTACTCTTTTGTGAGGTTAGAAAATAGGTTGCGGCTTTCACCTCGCGAAGGCCTTCTTTCCAAGCGACATCATAGACAACTTATGTCCCTCTGTCTGCTGGGAAATCTCTCTCAATTTCTTCGAATATTCAAAGATACTCTCAACGCTTCGTGTACACCAGACCACCGCAATCGTAGATCTTCCGGCGTCACGCCTTTGCAGACTCCTGCGACAGACTGAACTTGAAGCTCAAGCCTCACTGTGACTCCCGGGACATCTCCATGTTCTTCTCTGGTTTTCTGCGTAGCCTTCCGAACGAGGGATTCGACTGACGACATCCCTTGAAAAGTATGGAAGTTGGCTTTCCTCAGGCAGTGTGTAAGTACCGTGCCGATCAATTGGCTGACCATGAGCCACGGCTTTCCGCTCGATCTTTGGCTGGTTTTGTACTACTCATAGTCCGCGATCGACGAGCTTCGCTGTCTGCTGGTATACATAGTGATGACGTGAAGATCGCTCTGTTCAAGTCGGAATACACTTGGGGAGCGCTCTGCCCGCCCCCTCTTCACACCCTCTCAATCAAGAACATCCACAATTCCTCTCATCTCCGAGTAAACGTGAGTTATTTTTCTATGAGAGTTTCCTTCTACTGTGGTCCTCCATCTTTTTCGTCTAACTCACTCTCTCATAGGCTCCCCATCACCATCATGACCATCCTCAAAGTCGACAAATCAAACCCTCCCGCCTCAGCATTTTCGGAGCCCTCAGAGCCTTCTGATATCAAGCCCGCAGACTCACCGAAAGAGCAGATCACGAAACAGCAGGAGGAGAACCCGCAGGTCATGATGACGAAGGATGAAGGAAGTAAGAAGGAAGGAAAGGAGGGGCAGGGTAAGGAGGCGAACAAGAACTGGGTTAAGCCGAGGTTGTGAAGGCGTATGTGTGTCGTGGACGGAAAGAGTGCGCGAAGTGCGGTGGTGTGTTGAGCGACAGGTGAGTCTCTGGTTGGATGTCTATGTCAAGACTTGAGTTCCGTGGTATATTCACGCTTGCATGCTGACGGATTGACTGTAGGATAATAAGTCACAATATTTCGTCGATATACGTGATGTAAAGCGTATCAGTGCTCAACTGCTGTTCAGACTGTTCTCACCGTATGCGATTCTGAACGCGTCCGAAAATGGTAATGAACAACACTGTTTCTGCCTTTCTGGTTGACTTAGCCCCTATCACCCAAACCCAATCCACGGCAAACAGTTCGCAGCATGATTATCATGGTATTGTTTGAATAACCGGCTTCTCCTCACCATGTCGCGCCATGTGTGTGTTCATGCCATGGAGCAGTATGCGATCCATTCCCTCTGAAGCCACTCGAGTTCCTGATAATACAGGAAATTCGTGATTTCATGTAACGGCGACGAGACGGTGAGCAAATCGGCGAAAGCTATCAGCAAGTCAGAATACAATTGAACGCCTCGTCGGTCAGGTACTTAGGATCAAGTCAGAGCGCAAAAAGTCGGAGCTTCGTGGCTTTATGGCTTTACTTTGGAGCTCGGAGCTCGACAGACAGACGAACGTGCAAAGCGATCCGAGCTCGGGAATCGGGGCCATGGCAAAGACGACAGGCACCAAGACTACTCTGGTGCCGGCGGCGTGCAATAACTTGAAAAATCGTGCTCGAAAATAATATCGTATCACTGCACGGAGTCGAGTTATGACTGTTGGCTATAGGAAGTTAGGGGAGGGGTCTGAATTCCGGGTCGAACATGGCACTGATATCGACAATAGCAGGAAAAAGGCTCGCGGGGCGTGGTGTGGAGTCTTGACTATGGAGGGGACGTCAAGTATATTGCAAGAAGCGAATACTGAATGAAATACGACGGGACATTAGCGTACGCGTACATATGGGCAGTGGGTAGTATCCATGATGTTTCTAGTAGTAGTACCAGTAGAGCCAGTCATAGCCCCGAAAAGCGTTTGAGGACGAGTACGGTCGTCGGTGTGACAGATGATGCATACCCTCGAAGCACGCGCAGACCGACGGACGAGAGTGGTATACCCAACGTAAGTCGTATTTGCCCACAGGACCACTCCTCGTACAATAGCTGTCCGCACGCTCGCCTGAAACCAGATATGGCAGATATTCTCCGCGCATGGGTTCAAGCATGGCTTAGGAAGCTTCGGTATCGATGGTAGTGACCGGCGGGAATGGCTGGATGAGTGGATGGGGACGGGTGGGTGAAGGTGTGGTGCGCCAGTGAACTTGAAGAGGATGTTGGAGCCAAAAGGTCAGGGATCATTGTGAGACCGATATCAAAAGGGGATTGATCCTATGGCTGATATCAATGGCGACATGTGCGCAGACTGGTATGGTGCGTCAAGGGGCGGACATAGAGGCTGAGCGAGGCAGGAAGGAGTCGTGCGTCAACGAAGAGGGATCGGAGCGGAAGGAATGGGCAGTATTGTGTCATGAGGACGAGGAAGGAGGATTGGAGGGGTAAGCTCGTTTCAGGTGCCGATATTTCTTGAGTTGATAGAGAGCGAGGGTTTCTATCGGCGTCGACGGAAGAGGAATTGCATGAATAGATGATGGTGAAATAAGGTAGGTTTGATAAGTTTGGGATTTGGTAGTAAGACATAAGACATCATGGAACCCACCGTTCTTTATGTATTCTCCTAGCTTGAGAGCTTTCTCGATCTCTTCTGGATCGTGAAGGTCTCTATTCCCTGTTGCGATACATAACACGATTGAGAGGGTATAAAACGAATGATGAACGATCATACACGACGTACGCTCAAACATCCTCCTCACTCGTCCATTGAAGTCATAACTAATGAGCGCAACAAAGCAACTGGGGGAAGTGTCGACTTCGTCGCCGGACACCTTGCTTGAGATAAAAAAATTTGTAATATATACAACCTCTTATCAGAAGAGTGAAGCGGTGTATTGGATGCAATTGACGTTCGGGAAATGAAAAGCTAAGCTATAAGGTAGTACTATGTTGAACACGGATTGAACCAGACGAAATCCATTGTCAATATGTATTTGGGAAAGTACCAAACAGTCAAATGGGTCACTCCACGCAAGATATACACTCTGGCCGTGCATCAGGACAGCACCCCGCGCCAGAGACGACTCAAACGCACAGGTCTTCAAGTCGTTGCCGAGTTCGCCATGGATATGAGGGTTACGGTGACAACAAATCTGGAGATAGACATTGATATCACGAGTGGGGCTCGAGGCACGACCTCC